TTATTCACTGCTCTACCTGAACACTGAGAACATTTCAGAGAAAGTAGGTACTCAATTCATTTCATTTCATGAATAATTTATTCAATTTGGATGTAGGTGGGGTCGTGTAAGAAAGTGACTGTAGAAGTGAAGGCTTGAAAGTGAGAAAGCACAGATGTACTGGAGACACAAGTAAAGCAGTCACAGATTGATGATGGTTTTCCGTGTTTTCTAAATGGATTTCACAGAAATAGAATTGGATTAATCCGTACTATTGGTCATAATATACTATCATCATTATTCTATGCACAACCCTCCTTTATTTTAATTAATTAAATTTGAGGAATTTTATTAAGGTATAATTAGCATACCTTAATAACTTAATTTGATATGTTTTGACATATATATGTTTCCATGAAACTATGACATCAAGATAATGACTATAACCATTGTATTTATATCCTAGGGTTGCTATAAAAAAGTACTACAAACTAGTTGGCTTAAAACAACAGAATGTATTCTCTATCAGTTCTGAAGGCTAGAAGCTCAAAATCAGGGTGTCAGCAAGAGAGAGTCCTTCTGAGGGTCTTGAGGGACAATCTGTTCCATGTGCCTCTACTAGCTTCTGGTGAAGGCCTGTGATCCTACATGTTCTCTGGTTTGCAGATGCATTGCTCCAGTCTCTACTTCCATCTTCCCTTGGCATTCTCCCCATGTCTGTGTCTTCACATGGCCTTTTCTTATAAGGACAACAGTAATATTGGAATAGGGCTTATCCTAATGACCTGATCTTGACTTGATTAAATTTGCAAAGACCCTATTTCCAAATAAGGCCACACTGACAGCTTCTAGGAGTTAGAATCTCAGTGAATTTTGGGAGGAGGAAGGACATAATTCACCTATAATATCCACCACTCCCCAGATTTCCTCACTCTGCTTTATAATACCTCCTTTCTGACCCACCTCCTTATTACCCGACAACCACTATCACTTCTTTTAACTACTACCTTACTACTTCTTTAACTATAGTTTATTTTTTCTAGAATTTTATAAAAATAGAAGCATATAGTACATACTTTTTTGTGGGAGTAGGAAATCTGGCTTATTTCATTTAGCATAATTATTTGTGAGATTTATCCATGGTATTGCATATACTGAGTCCTTTATATTGCTGAAAAATATTTGTATGAATATCCCACAATTTTTAAATCTATTTACTTCTTGATGGAATTTGTTTCCAATTTTTGGATTTCAAATAAACCACTGAATAGTAGTGTCTAAGTATTTGCATGAACACGTTTTCTTAGGTAAACATCTAGGAGTAGAATGACTGGGTCATATGGTAGGTGTCTGCTTAAATTTTAAGAAATTGTCATACTGTTTTTTGAAATGGCTTACCATTTTACATTCCTAGCAACAGTGTATGAAGGTTTCAGTTGCTCCACACCCTTGCCAACACTTCAGAATGGTCTTTTTAATTTCAGGCTAGATTCTAACAGGTGTGTAGTAGTATCTTATTGTGGTTTTAATTTGTATTGTCCTAATTACCAAAGATGTTGAACATTTTTTTATGTGCTCAGTTGCAGTCAGTATATCGTTTTTCAGTTAAGTGCTTGTTCAAATCTTTAGTCTATTTTTATTTTGTAAAATTCACGTTACTTATTTATTTTTTCTGAGACAGGGTCTTGCTCTGTTGCCCAGGCTGGAGTGCAGTGGTGCTATCATGGCTCACTGCAACCTCGACCTCCTGGTCTCAAGTGATCCACCTACCTTAGCCTCCCGAGTAGCTGCGACCACATGCACAAGCCACTATGGCTACTTTTGCATGTTTTGTAGAGATGGGGTTTCACCATGTTGCCCAGGCTGGTCTCAAACTCCTAAGCTCAAGCAATTCGCCTGCATTGGCATCCCAAAGTGTTGGGATTACATGTGTGAGCCACTTCCCCTGGCCGAGCCTATTTTTAAATTGTCATTTTCTGCCAAAAAAAAGGAGAGAGAGAGAGAGCACACTAAGATTTTGACTGGGATTGTGTTGAATCAACACATCAGTTTGGGGTAAAAGTGACAAATTTTAACAAAATTGAGTCTGAGTCTTAAACACAGTACCTCTATATTTTAAAATATTGTCTTCTTTAATGTCTCAGTAATATTTTGTAGTTTTCAGTGTGCAAGTAAGTCTTACATGTGTCAGATTTATTCTTCAGTATTTAATAATTTTTGATGCTATTGAAATTGTGCTGTTATTTTAAATTTCAATTTCCAATTGCTTATTGCTAGTACTTAGAAATACTATTTTTTCCATGTTAATCTTGCATCTTGAAACCTTGCAAAGCTTACTTATCAGTTCTAGTAACTATTTTGTAGAATCCATCAGATTTTCTACATAACAATCATGTTGTCTGCAAATAAATTCTTTTTTTTTTTTTCCAAATCTGGGTGCATTTAATTTCTTTTTCTTATTGCACTGGTTACAAACTCCAGTACAATGTTGCACAGAGGGGTGAGAACAGACACCCTTGCCTTGTTCCTGAATGTAGGGGGGAATGCATTAGTATTTCACTATTAATTATGATGTTAGCTATAGTTTTTTATAGATGCTCTTTATCCAGTTGAGAAAATGCCCTTTATTCCCTAGTCCTAGTTAATTACTTTTAAATAATTCCATGAAATCCATGAAATAAACACTCATGAATAATTTCATTTAGATCACTGGCTCAACTACCTATATACTACCTATATGTATATATTTCTGTGTCTCCTCCTCTGGGCCCTTCTCTCTCGAGCTACAGATCCCATTTTTACTGGACTTCTCTGGTTGTTTTGCAGACACTTCAAATTTAATATAACAAACTCACTTTGGTCATTTCTTATCCCATAAAGATAAAACTAAATCTATAAACCTGCTCCTTGTTTTTCCATCTGGCTTTTCATCTGTATTCCTCATTTTTTATTTCACTAGTGGCAAAACCTAAAATCACCTATGTCAGAAATCTAAATGCTAGTTTCCATGACTCCTCCCTCCATCTCTTACAAACAGCTACTGAGTTCTATAAAATACACTTCTAAATTTCTCTCAGACCTAGCCCATTCTCAGTATGGGGTAGTAAAAAGAATAAGGCTTTAGGATTAACCAGATCTAAGTTCAAGTACCTATGAACTATAAACCTTTGGATAAATTACCTAACCTCAGCTGGTTTTTCCATATGTGAAACAAGAATGGTATCTCTATTATAATATTGTTAAAATTTAAATGGGAGTAATATATCTATCACAGTGTCTGTCACATTATGTTTAATAAACTTTAATTACCATTCCCTCTTACCCGTTCCCATTGTTTATTGAGGTCATTATTATTTACTGTTTGGGACATTGCAATAGCCTCTTCAACAAATCAAATTGATTCCACTTTCCACACTGTAGTCGGAAGGGATATTTCTAAAAGTCAAATCTCAACATTTGCTTCTCTGCCTAAAGTTCTTTATTGTCCCCAGCCTGACCTCCTACTACTCTCCAGGTTTACTCATAAAAAGTATTTGCTAGTCTCTGGTACGGGATTGCCCATTTGTTCCTTTTTGTCTTTACATTCTTTTGTTTACAATTTCCTTCTTGGTCTCACAGGTGAATCTTTTCTTCAGCCTCAGCTTCCAGGTTCTCTCCTCTGAGAAACTATCTTAAATCATCCAGGTGGTAAGGCATGTTCTTTCAGGTCAACAATTATTTGACTGTTTCTTATGTATCTGCCAGACATTAACTGTGTATGCTAGAAATTGAGCTGTGAAGACAGCGTTTCCTGCCCTCATAAAGTATATAGAGAGGGAGACTAACATTTTAGACAATTATTTAGTCAGTTTTATTGAATGCTATAAAGATGTAGTGTTATGATTATAATGTATGCATACATTATATGCATACTATGTTACAGATGTATAACAGTCTTGGGAGAGTAGCAGAGGCTACTCTCCAAACTTCCCTTGAAGACACTGAAATTTGATGGATGGTCCCATTATAACCTTTAGAATTATCTTTAGAATTCTCTATTAAAAGTACCTGGGCAAATACTTTTGAATTGCTGCTGTGAAAAAATGATTTTGACTAGCTAATACGTTACATACCACAATTCTCAAAAGATCCTTTTGACCGTCTTAAGACTGATCTACAATCTTTGGGCAGATTGAAGTCCCCGATTTAAATTTATGTATAACAGGTAGTATGTACAGGATCTTTTATTCCTAGCAATAACCTGGCCAGTATTATCCCTATTTTATAGATAAGGAAGTTGAGACTCAACTATTCCAAAGTCCCACTATCCAGCAGTTAAGTCAGTGATCCCAACCCAGGGGTTTCAGGACGCCAAGCTCTCTTTCCACCACGCACGTGTCTACTTCTGTATCTTATTTCCACAATCTTCTACTTTTTAGTTGCTAGTAGGTGCCCCACGAAAAAATACACGTGAAAGCCTAACGCTAAAAGTACCATTTTTACTATCACCCTCACCAACACACGCTACGACTTCCTCGCATTAGGAATGAGAGGCCTTCCACATCTGGTTTCAAGTTTGCACGAAAAATAGTTAATTCCAAGCTGTGCTTTTAAACCCCATTACACCCTGTTTTGTACTCAATGCCACTAATTTCCCACAACGACGTCAGGGAAAATAAAAACATCTTTTGACAACATTAGTCTTCTAAGTCCGCCTTCCACGTCCCTCTAACGGGCGCAGCTCCCGGTCCGTCTTCTTAGGCACTCAAGGTGTCTAAACTTGTGGCTTCCAGCCGGGAAAACTAAAGGCACTGGAGGCCCACAAGACCCCCTTAACCCCTTCCACCCCTTCCCTATTCGCCCATCTCCACGTCGTCTTCTTGGCCTTTGAGTGGAAAATGCGGCAGCCCGAAATCCTCACCAAGCAGAGCAATCCGTAAAGCCCCGGAGGGCACAGGACCAGCGAGAAGACGATGGTTCCGGCCCTGAGACTAGAGCGGCGGCGACGCTCGGCGTACGCGCTGTCGTCACTCCGCAGCGGGGCAGCACCGGCTCCTCCCACGACGCTGCGGGTCCGGTTTCCGGCGGGAGAGCGGGCTGCCAGACCGGGGAAAGGGTCCCGCTTGTGCTAGGGACTTGTGGGCTGGCTGCACTGGCCACTGCGGGGTGCCCGCCAGAATGCCCCACTTGGAAAACGTGGTGCTTTGTCGCGAGTCTCAAGTGTCCACCTTGCAGTCCTTGTTTGGAGAGGTATTGTAGTTAAACTGTCTTCCAGATCCTGGAGGCAGACGTTTCGGTAGTCTTACGACCTGTTCCAATTTTTTTTTTTTTTTCGTGTTTGGATTGAGGGCCAAAAAGCCGTTTTTACGTTAAATAGGGGTGTTGTGGTTCTGTACTGCACCTTCACCCACAGTCTCTTCCGATTATTGAAGAGGAGACTGTCTAAGAAGGACCGGCCTGCACTACAGAACGTTGCCTAAGACGTGTTTGACACACGCCACACTTTTGAGAAGTTTGCCCACATTAGCTCCTAGAAGTTGCTTATCTTACCCCAACCCAATGACATTTATGTAACAGATGTGTTTGCAGAGTGTTGTTTATTCAAATATAAGTTCACACGTTTCTGTGCGGTAGTTGGAGTGAGTCAAGTGTAGAGAGGTGGTTGCTTTCGAGGCCACTAAGGGGCAAAGCAGTGCTTCAGGTTTAAAAATTCACTGGCTTTTCCAGAATTGTAACAGTCCCGAAGAGGTCTAGTGTAAACTTTTCTCCTTAACTGATAGTTCACAGGATGCCCTAGAGAAGAGTTTGTCTTCTCTGGATGAACATAGTTACATAGGGAGTCCTTTCAATAGACAGAGGGTAGCATTCACCAATTCAAAATTTAACCTATTTTTGACTATTTTCTGGTAATCTTTGATGTACTTTTTGATTCAGACTCATTAATCAGAATTGGAATTAATCAAACTTGGATCTTACCTGTGAAGAAAGTGAATGAGAATATAGGGTCATACTATATCCCCATCTTCTGGTTTGCTTTTTTAACTACAGTCATGTGTTGCTGTCACTTAATGAGGGGGATACGTCCTGAGAAATGCATCGTTAGGCAATTTAATCCCTGTGAATATCATAAAGTGTATTTACACAAACCTAGATGGTGTAGCCTGCTATACACCTAGGCTGTATGGTGTAGCCTATTCCTCCTACGCTATAAATCTCTACAGCGGTGCAACTCTACTGAATACCGTAGGCAGTTGTAACACAGTGATGTCTGCATCTAAACGTATCTAAACATAGAAAAGGTACAGCAAAAATAGGGTATTATAATCTTATGAGACCACTGTTGTATATGTGGTCCATCTTTGAACACGTGACAGTACTTTCATCCAACTAGAAATACTGCATGGCAGTTTGAGGTGGCCTGTGAAGCATTAGTGGAAAAGTACTCCCCTTGTCTAAAGGGGCGCATTATTTAGGGAAGTTAGAGGTCAACAACTGCATCGTCAATTAGTTTTCTATTTATAATGCTTTCAATTATAGTTATATTATTACTGGAGCATTTTCTTGATTATGTTCTCTGCATTTCATCTCTGGAACGCAGATCACTCCAACCAGAAATGCTCCTGCTGAAAAAGAACAATTGGCAAATAGGGATGAGTAGTATTGACTTAGTGGTGGATCACAGAAGGGTTTTTGACTTTTGCTCTTAATGAAAATTATGTTTAACAATATTTTATTATCAGTTCTGCAAGGTGCTGTGCATGTGGGAAATACAAAGAACTAATAGGAAAGAAATATAAAAAATTGGTTCATGTTTTTAAGAAGACTCATTTATTTGTTCAATAAATAAATATTTACTGAGCACCTTTTCTGTGGCAGGCACTAGCTTACTGCAGTTTACGTTAGCGAGATTTATAAAGGTGAAAGGTTAAATAACAGTGGAACAGTTCAATATAATTCTAGGTCACAATAAGAAAGATGTTATAAGGTATTATTAGGCAACAACAACATGTAATGGATAGCAGAGATACTCAGCAACGTGCATGTAATTCTTGAGAAAGAATTTTTTGCTTTTGTTTTTTGAGACAGAGTTTGGCTCTCTTTCCCAAGCTGGAGTGGCATGATCTTGGCTCACTGCAGCCTCTGCCTCCCAGGCTCAAGCAATCCTCCCACCTCAGCCTCCGAGTAGCTGGAACCACAGGTGTGTGCCACCAAGCCTGGCTATTTTTGTATTTTTCATAGAGATGGGGTTTCACTGTTTCCCAGGCGAACTCCTAAACTCAAGTGATCTGCCTGCCTTGCCCTCCCAAAGTGTAGGGATCACAGGCGTGAGCCACCGCACCCTGCTGAGACAGAATTTTTGAGCCAGTTAATTTATATGATTGTTACATATAAACTTTAGAAAAGGGTTCATGTATTACATTACCTATTCATTTCCAGTAGATTTTTAGTTTATTTTTAGCAGTTGAGCTGCTTTTGCCATGGCTGTATGCCATTTAGAGTCTTTTTCCTGTGTAAATCTGAGTTCCTGATTTGTCTTGTAAAAGGAAATGTTTAACTTAGTGACTAGAATGTAATAAATGTTTGTGACTGTTGCTGTAATCGATGATAATTGAGACTCAGCTTCCTCATGGAAATTGCATAATCCCATTTTCTTATAATTATTTTTTTAAAAAATGTATTATTGAAAAATAGGCCGGGGCGCAGTGGCTCACACCTGTAATCCCAGCACTTTGGGAGGCCAAGGCAGGTGGATCACCAGGTCAGGAGTTCGAGACCAGCCTGACCAAAATGGTGAAACCCCATTGTAACTAAAAATACAAAAATTAGCTGGGCCTGGTGGCACGCACCTGTAATCCCAGCTACTCAGGAGGTTGAGGCAGGAGAATCACTTGAACCCAGGAGGCAGAGATTGAAGTGAGCCGAGATCGCGCCATTGCACTCCAGCCTGGATGACAGAGTGAGACTCCATCTCAAAAAAAAAAAATAGTATTATTTTTAAAAATCCAGTTTTCCTGTAATTATTTTTAAAATGTAATTAAGTTTTCCTATAATTATTTTAAAAATGTGATCCAATTTTCCTATAATTATTTAAAAATGTAGACTGTAATTTCCTCCAAAGTAGATAATGTCTTTTACTGATATTTGTACTTTTCAGTACCCCTTGGTTTTCAGCATTTAGTAGGTATCTAATGAAAGTGTTCATTTAAGTAATGAAGTATAAGTATTTATAGTATTAACTAGACCAGAGAGACCATTGACAATGTTTACTTTTATCTAGCTGCTAACTTAATGTACTGCAGAAAGATCTTGCATGTATGTATTTTAAAATAAATGCTATGCAGATTTTATTAGTGTTTTATGTGATCTAATGTATGCATTTGTGCCAGCATTAGTGAGTGTGCATAGTTCAGAAGTAGTCTGTAAGTTTTCCTAAGAATGAGGACCCTTGAAATCCCTTTTAATCTTTTGATTATATGTACTTAATTTCATAGCATTAAAATGTACAGTGAAGTTGTGGCATCCCAGGAGATAAGAGTCTTTAAGAAGGAGTAATGTAAAAATGGAGTATGAACAAAATTATCCTTGAAAAATCTCTTAAATGTCCTATAAAGTTGAAAATACAAGTTTATATATGTAAACCTGTACAATAATAAAAAATATAAATATATAGTACATAATAAAATATGCCAAATATGTTACAGAAATTTTAATTTCATAACAAAGAAAGTGCTTAGAGTTGAATTCAAGTAAGTTCAAAGTGTGTTGATTCATCCACAATATGCTCACTGTTAGGAATTTGGATTGAATATTTTACTTTTCCACATACAACTTTCTCACAAGTTGATAAGTGTTTATTTTCTATTTTGCATGTGCAGTCTCATATTTGTCTTTGTCTTTTCTCCCCTTAGAGACATCATTTTAGCTTTCCATCCATTTTTATTTATGGACATACTGCCAGTGGAAAGACCTATGTAACACAAACGTTGTTGAAAACTTTAGAGGTAAGAATAAAAATATTAAGTATTTCTTTGCCATTCTTTAATGTATAATATTGGTAGTGAAGATTGTGAATCTCCACAAATACAAAATTGAACATACCACCTTCACATTGCTCTTCTTCCCATATTATCTTTCTCCATGAGTGAGCTACTGTAATTGACACAGTTGTCCAAACTTACACTTTCTTAACTGTTTCCTCATCTTCCCTCATTTAGTAAATTACATCAATAAACTTGATCTGTTGCTTCACATTCTTAAAATCATTTCTCCATCTACCTTTAATCCTAGCCATTGCTGCTAGGATTTACATTTACCATTGTTTTTTTCCATGTATTTCTGTAAGCCTCTTATTTGCAGTCTTCACCCAGCAGCCAGGCCTTGCAAATCTTAAGATCTTCAGGACAGTGTTCAAGTAATTTGCCCAATGTATAAGACCTTTCCTGAGCTGAATTTATCTTTTATAACACAGTGGTTAAGTGGGCTGTAGAGTCTGGCAGACTCATGTTCCTTTTTGGATTCACCAGTTAGTGCTTTCTCCATCTGCAAAGTTGGCTCATAGTGACAACATCTGGGATTAAGAGAATTAAATGTTAGTACATGGAAAGTGCTTTCTGCAGTACATAGTGCGTAGTAAGCACTCAATAAAGGTTAGCTGCTATTATTGATGAGTATTGCCATACTCCCTTTCATATCCTAAACCAGAGATGGGCAGTCTTTTTCTTAAGGGGCAGATAAGTAACATTTTGTACTTGTGGACCATGTAGTTTCTGTCTCTCCTACTTGACTCTGCTGTATTGTGAAAGCACCCATGGGCATTCTCTGTGTGAATGGGCATGACTGTGTTTCAAAGCAACAGTATGTACAAAAACAGGTGGCTAGCCCACAGGCTTTGGCTTGCTAACCCTGTCCTCTAGCTCTAAGGATGTGTGTTTAGGATGGCATACTGAACTGTGTATAGTTCCTCCTCTCTTACTTTCAAGCCATGGCACATGCTGCTCCCCTACTTGAAATGGGTTTCCTGTACTCGCTCTTCCTGTTACTTGGCAGATGCTTATTTATTTTGCCAGGTTTTCTTCTACTTGTATTCTACAAAGTCTTTCCTGATCCTCTAGGCTGTATCAGATGCTCCCCTGTTTTGCAGCCTTAGCACCTTGTGCTTAATTCTGTCATAATATTTAGCCCTCTCAGCTATGATTTTGTTTGTGTTTCCCTGGCTTTAGGTTGTGAGTTTCTTGAAATTATCCCCAGCACTAAGCACACTACTTGGCACATATTAACTTGTGGATTTTAGCTTATTAACTTGTGGATTTCAGCTTTTGATCCCAAAGATCAGCTGTGCATTTTAAAAGCACATATGCCTGGGCTGTATACTAGACTTCAGAATCTGAGTGTACAAGGTCTTGGTCCAGGCATTTGCATTTCAGAACCTGTTGAATGAAGTGCCCCCAAAATATGTGTTGAATAAAAGCAATAAAACCCAATAAGGAAGTTTTATATTTAAGGGCTGCATTCCATTTTTTTTTTTTATCACATTGTAGTTTCTGCTGCTACTTAATCAGTGTAATATATGATTATTGTTACTACTTCTGATACAGGGACTCAGACAGGCACTTAGAATATGCTGCCTTTAAAGGTCATGGATAGCACAAATGCTGTAAGCGAGACACTATTCATAACAGAGATATTGTGGACTGTTGTTCGTAAAGAAGTGAGAGTGAAGTGAGTTAGCAAATGCTGGTGAAACTGTCCCCAAGTAAGTTTAATGTGGCTTTAGTGACACTGTTATTCAGAGAACGAAAAGCTTCCTTATTGGATACAAGTTTATAAAATCACTAAAAATAGTTACAAATTCCATTATTTGTGCCAAATGCCACAAGTTATCTTCCTCAGAATGAATCTGCTTTTGTGATCTTATTTTGAGGATAGACTGTATTTGTGAGCAAATCTCGTTTGTGTCCTTATTACTTCTGGAGTTACCTCATTTTGATATTTTGATAGTTTTTTAAATGAAGGGCTAGTTGTTTGTTTGTTTGTTTTTTGAAATGGAGTCTTGCTCTATTGCCCAGGTTGGAGTACAGTGGTATGATCACAGCTCATTGCAGCCGTGAATTCCTGGGCTCAAGTGATACTCCCACCTCAGCCTCCCAAGTAGCTGGGACTTACAGACGTACTCCACCAGGCCTGTCTAATTTTTTTTATTTTTTAAAGACGGAGTCTCACTATGTTTCCCAGGCTGATCTTGAACTCCTGGGGTCAAGTGATCCTCCCACCCCTCCTAAAGCAGTGAGATTACAGGCGGGAGCAGTATGCCTAGTAAAGAGCTAGTGCTTACAGTCCTTATAGGAGGATTGCTATGGTTTCTAACTCTTAAAATTCTTTTTTTTTTTTTTTTGACTTAAGTTTATTCAAGGATATTATATTAAAGTTACAAGTGTGAAATTCCTATTAAGACTTTTAACATTCAAATATACTTAGATTTCTTTTTTTTTTAAAAACGAAGACAGAGTCTCGCTATATTTCCCAGGCTGGTCTTGAACTCTTGACCTCAAAGCCTTGGCATTACAGACATGAGCCACCATTCCTGGCTGATTTCTTTATAAGAATTCTTTATAGGAAAGTACAAGTTTGCTTTGAATTTCCATAAGAAAGAAATGGCAAGCTGAAAGAAATAATTGAAGAGAGTTTAATGAAGGGACAATTTTATAAAGGTTGAGGACATTTTATGGGAATCACTAAGGGATGATGGTATCCCAGGGCCTTTACCACCTCTAGGCCTGAAGGGACCATAGAAAGGAGCTGTTACTGGAACACTACAAGAGGTGTAGCCTTAGAAGAGGGGCTGTCCAACTTGATCTTTGGTAAAAGAGTATCCACTGCCAAGCTAGGGCCACTGAGGGGTCATGGTGGGAGTCAAGGAAATCAATATCCAAACATCTGTCCCACCATTCTCCCTTAGTCTCCTGCTGGTTCTTTCTATTGGCTTCTCCATCCACAGCCAGAAAGTAAGAGAGTCTGGGTGATGTAATTCTGTAGCTGTCAGGCTCTTGGGGCATAGGGTGGGTTTGGTGGGATGTGGATTTAGAAAGGCAAATGGAGAATATCAGCAGAGCCATTATTGTGTCTGTGTGTTTTCTTCTTTTCTTATAGTGTTTTGGTTTTCGTTTTCAGCTCCCACATGTCTTTGTGAATTGCGTTGAATACTTTACCTTGAGGCTGCTTTTGGAACAAATTTTAAACAAATTGAATCATCTTAGTTCTTCAGAGGATGGATGTTCTACTGAAATAACCTGTGAAACATTTAATGATTTTGTTCGCTTGTTTAAACAAGTAACCGCAGCTGAAAATCTCAAGGATCAGACTGTATATATTGTAAGTAATTTCATTTGATTAGATCATCTCTTATGTTGAAAACCAATAATTTATTAGATCAATTTTCGTATATTTGTTTTGAGTCTCATTATGTACAGTGCTCTGTGCCAGATGCTTTTGTATACAGAAATGTGTTAAACATATTCCTTATCCAAGGGAAGCTTCATTTAATAGACAAGGTATGACACATACATGTGACTACATGTAGGATGTGATAAGTGATTGTCATCAGATGCAAAGTATTGACTGTGTGTATCCAATACAGCTTCATGAGGTATTAGCATTTGAGACAGACCTAAATGAATTAGAGTATTCTAGGAAAAAATTGAAGTAGAGGATTTTCAGATAGAATTATATAAGTAAAGGCATGCAGCTGAAAATGGAGACCAGAGAATACCAAATAGTCTAGTTTTAGTGGGTTATAAAGTATGAAGGGAGAAAAAGAAGACTGGAAGATAGGTTGGGGCAGATCATGGAAGGTCTAGAAAACTATACTAAAGCACTTTATTTAATTTCTTAGGGAGTGGATAGAAGGTAGTGAAGACTTTAGAGCAACAAATATGCCTGATTACTCTGAAGACATGTTAAAATGATCATCTTTGGAATTGGATAAGAACTAACCAAGACTGGATAGTTTATAAAGGAAAGAGGTTAATTGGCTTACAGTTCAGGATGGCTGGGGAGGCCTCAGGAAACTTATAATCAGCAGAAAGCAAAGGGGAAGCAAGGCATCTGCTTCACAAAGTGGGAGGAAGGAGAAACTCCTCATAAAATCGTCAGATCTCATGATAACTCACTATCACAAGAACAGTATGGGGGAACCACCCCCATGATTCATTTACCTCCACCTGGTCTCTCCCTTGACACATGGGGATTATGGAGATTACAATTTAAGATGAGATTGGGATGGGGACACAAAGCCTGACCACACCATTCCACCCTTGGCCCCTCCCAAATCTCATGTCGGTTTCACATTTCAAAGCCAGTTGTGCTGGGTAATTTATAAAGAAAAGACATTTATTTCTCACAGTTCTGGAGGTTAGGAAGTCAAAGGTTGAGGTCCCCGCATCTGGCAAGGTCCTTCTTGTTGCCTTCTCTCATGATGAATGGTAGAAGTACAAGAGAGGACAAGGGTGAGAGCAAGAGGTGGCAGAAGTCCCTTTTATAACAAAGCCATTCTTTCAATAAGCCATTCCTTTGATAACAATATTAATTCATTGATGAGGACAGAGCCCTCATGACTTAATCGTCTTTTATGCAGCTCCACTTCCCAATACTGCCGCACTGGGGATTAAGTTCCAACACATGAACTTTGGGGGACATAATCAAACCATGTCATTTTTTAAAGGCTTTGTAAATGCATTTCTTCTTCTTTTTTTTTTTTAAAGGTTCTAGATAAAGCAGAGTATCTAAGAGATATGGAAGCAAATCTTTTGCCTGGATTTCTTAGATTACAAGAATTGGTAAGTAATGTGAGAGAGTGCTTTTTCCCCACAACTTAATCAATGGATTGTGTTGTAAAATTTTTTCATTTTGCTATTTGATAGGTGAGAATTAGTATTTTAATATAATTGTAGTTTGTATTTCTCTTATCAGTAAAGCTCAGTATTTTTTCATAGTAAAATCAGTTAGTGATTTCATAGCATTTATTCTTCAATTATTTTAGCTTTTCCTCTCTAATTATGAAGCTACTGCTTTCTATTAAAAGTTTTTAGATGTTGCTAGAATAAATAGCAGAGGGCCAGACTTTAAAATCTCAAGGATTTTAAAATTTTCTTTGCATTTCAAAATAAGGATAATCTAAAATAAGAATAGCATGGCTATTCTGGCTCATCTGGATTTCTATCTTATAACCTCAGTGTCAGAGTTTACTTTTGTATTTCAGTTTACTCTTGTGTTGGCTTCACAAAGTACAGTAAGTCCTCACTTAACATCTCAGGAGATTCTTGGAAACTGCAACTTTAAGTGAAACAGCCTACAACAGGTTCTTCCTTACCTTCAGCATCATTTCATTATAACATTGTTGAGGAAAAAAATTGGTTTCATTATATGTTGCGCTTAAAGTCAGTTTCTCAGAACCTATCAACAACATTAAGTGAAGGGTTACTAATTAATACTACTGTGATTGTCATGGCCCAATAAGAAAAGAACAGGGGTGGACTTACTAGGCATTTGTGTCAGGTGAAAGCCAAATAATATCACAGATAAAACAGGGTTTTGTAATCGTTTGAATAAGGAAGATTGGTGAGAGAAATAGCTGTGGTTGTTCCCAGGTGGAACCATATTCACTGTATTCACAAAGGGAATAAAGATTTAGTTTGAGCGAAGCAGTACTGTTCAATATATTCAGTTAATATTAATTTAAGTTTTATTGGTTTTATGGTTTGTATTTATAAATTTATTTTGGTTTTATAATTTTGTAAGTGCTTTGAGCATAAGCAGTTTATACCTACCTAATTTTATGTTTGTATGTGTTAAAGTATTAAGTAATATTATAATAAAGTAAATACTTGGGAAGAAGTGCTTAAAGCATATCTGCCTTTCAAAGTTAAATACATTATTCAAATTTGAGAATCTGCTAGAAGTTTAGAGAGGCCACTGAAATCATTGTGTGCCCAAGGCCGACTCCTGAAGTTGACTTTTAGTAATAGTTGAGGGAGGGGAGGTATAGAGAGGACAGGATAATAAGCGTAGCTATTGGTGGCCTATTCTGGAAGTTAACCTCACACAGTCTTGCTTTTCTTTGTTTCATTAACTCTTGACATTTTATTACTGAGACTCAAGACCTGTTTTCTTTGATTAGATGTCTCCTATTTCCTTTCCTTTTATTTGTTTGTTTCATTTGTATTTGCGGGTTTTTGCATATGCATCCACTATTTCCTATTGCTTTGCTCTAGAACTCACCATCTGGTATCCAGAGTGCATTATTGTCTTCTTGCCTTTCCAGTATAGATCACCCTATTTTTTCCTCCTTATGCCTAGTAATGGTGGTCATACATCCCTTTACAACAATTAGGACTTTTGACCATTTTTTAGTTTCAATTATAGAAATTGTTTGAAGAAAATTAAAAGATTTAGAGTAATCTCAGCTGAACTGGGAAAGAGAATTGTTTTGACATTTCTGGAACCATGCTTGATTTTTAAAAATGTATTTCATTTAAGAGAAATCTGGCAAAAGCATTTCTCATTTTTTTATATTAAGTAATTAAGTAAAAGGAAGTTTAAAATATGATGAATATCATATATACTGAAAGTACTTATCAGATGAATAGATAAGAACATTACCAACTTAAAATCTTTCAGCTCGATAAATATCCTCTTCTTTTTAGCCTCTCAATGTATTTAAACTGATTTTATAAAATGCTTTTAGGTAATCATATTTTTATAGCAAAAACAATTCAGTAATTTGTTATCAGGATTGTGATTAGGGCATGTTATTTTACTGCTATAGAAATAAATTCAGAGATTCTTAAAAAAATCAGACCCAATGTGATGGCTAATGCCTGTAATTTCAGCACTTTGAGAGGCTGAGTCAGGAAGATCACTTGAGTCCAGGAGTTCAAGACCAGCCTGGGTAACTTACAGAGACCCTGTCTTTACAAAAGATACAGAATTTAGTCAGGTATGGTGGCACATGTCCCAGCTACTTGAGAGATATAGGAGGATCACTTATGCCTGGGAGGTTGAGGCCACAGTGAGCTGTGATTATGCCACTGCACTCCAGCTTGGGTGTGTGACAGTTTGCAAATGGATGAACTCCTTGATTAGGTTTTCTAAATAAGGTTTATTAATATGCAAATAATTTGTTATAGGTTAGAACTTCGGGGGATTTATTTGAAAGAAAAATCCAAATGGAAATACTGCTCTGATTAAGATTTTTAAATACAAAGTTACTTTTATTTCTTTCTTTTACAGGCTGACAGAAATGTGACTGTTCTCTTTCTCAGTGAAATTGTTTGGGAAAAGTTTCGTCCAAATACTGGATGCTTTGAGCCATTTGTCTTGTATTTCCCTGATTACAGCATAGGTAAACCTTAAAACATTGTTTTGGCAAATGTTATGCAGGAGAATAGTTTTTGTTGTTTGAAAGATCAAACTAGCATATTCAAATGGAAATACTTTGATAAAGTATTTGAATATCAAATGGGAATATCAAAGTATTAAACTGTTAAGATTTGCTGCCAATCTCAAATAAGATGTTTGTATTTCTGCACTTATAAAATTTACTTTGGAACTGTGAGAGATTATTGTATAATTACTAATTTTTTTTGGATGAGCAACTCTCGTATTTGTGCTAATGTATCTTCATTTTTTTAGTCAGTACATTAAGATGTATATGTAGTGTAATTATGACATCTGTACGAATAATCAGACTAGACTTGTAAAGCATATTAAGAATGTGTTGAAATCTTCATTTACTGTATACTTGGGTTAAATACCATGTTGCACTTACATCTTTTGATTTTATAAATCTCATTTTCTTTACTGTAACTCATATGGTACCAATTACTAGCCCTTGTGTTTCTTATTTTCTTGGGGACTGCATTTAATCTTAAATTTCATAGATCCTGATGCTTTTGGTCTTTGAAAGAACACAGTAGCTTTTTGTGTTGCTGAATAGCTTTGTGGATTAATACTGGGCTGTCATACAGAGATGATACTTGGGATTCAGAGATTATAACTCTGAAGTATAAGATGGTTAACAGTCTATAAAAAAAAATAGCATTCCATGACCTTGGCCTCATTAACACTATCCCTCTGAACTAATCAGCTGTAAACATACATTAGGATTAACACATTTTTGTCTGTTTTCACCAGAACAGCAGTCAAATAACACCTTCTGTCTTAGCTAATTAGCTGAATTTTTTTTTTTTTACCAGCAACCCAAAATAGATGGAGTCCTTAATGTCATTGATTTCTCATCCATAAAAATCCCAAAATAAAGGGTAGGAGGAAAAGTGATAAAGGATTTTATTTAAAAAAAAAAAAATTCTGTACCTATGTCAGCACTGTTCTTCATAGTTCAGTTTTTTTATGACCCATTTTAAGTACTGAAAAACTATTTAGAATTTAAGAAAATTATTAAAAAAGTAGATTTTATACATTTCAGTCGAGTTGAATTAATAATATAAGTAATTATAGAATTAAATTTTAAAAATTCTATAATTTAAATTTATAGATTTAAAAATTTAAAAAGTAAAGATACAAAGCAGCATAGATAGAGGGTTTGAGGACAAAAGTAAATAAAATGGTCTTAGTAATTTTAGTGAGTATAGGATAATAGATTTTTGCAAAGTGTATAATAATGGAGCCAAGTTAAATTCTGATTATTAAATTTTAGGGCCTTTTTCATATTCAGTTTTTTTTTTTTTAAAGCAGAAACACTGTAGTCAGACAAAAAGCCATTCAGAAGGGGAACGTTAATAGATAAGTTGAAATTATGGTTAAGTGTGGAACCAGGGCAAAGAGATTATCTAAGTGGTTAGTGTTATCCTGTCACAATAACTTGAAACATGTCATTTTCAGGAATATGGTGTCTGATTTTAAGGACAGCTGTCCTCTTAGCAGTTATGGCTAGGAGCCCAGTTTGGAAGTCTTGTTTTCTGGTCTTTACCTCATGCAGACTACTCATCTTTTGGTGATGGATATTTTTTCTTTAGAGAGGTTATAATGTACTTGATTAGGTTTTTGGTTTAGTTATTGTGTCAGTTTGGATAGATTAAGTTGTGTTCTGATAACAATCTGAAATTTCAGTGATTACAGTTTCCTACTTAAGAACATTTGTACTGCTGTTGTCTTACATTTTACTTCTATATTTATTATAAACCGTGTAATACTATATTATAAACTTCAACTATTATTATAAACCTCAGATGTTAAATATTATTATTTTGGCTTTAAAAAAATAACAGGACAAGAAAGAAAATAACTTTTATTGTTTATCCTGCTGGGGATTTGTTGAGTTCTTAAGTCTGTGGGTGTATAGTTTCATCAGCTTTGGAAAAATTTCGGACAGTATTTCTTCAGATATTTTGTCTGCCCCCTCACCTTTTCTTCTCTATCTTTTTTGTGTGGAATTGCATTGTAATTGCATAATTGCATTATGTTAGAGCACTTTATATTGTCCTACTGAAAGTCTGTTTATTTAAATTTTAAATCTTTGTGTGTGTGTGTGTGTGTGTTTTATTTGGGTTTTTTTTTTTGTTTGTATGTCTTTCAGTTCACTGGCTTTTTTTTTTTTTTTTTACAAGTGTCTAGTGGGCAGCCAATCTCATCCGGTAGAATTTTCATTACTGATCTCATTATGCTTTTGTTTTCTTTTATATCCTTGAGCATATGAGCATATTTATAACAGTTGTTTTAATTTTCTTGTTTACTAATTCAATTACCTCTTTTGTTTCAGGTTTATTCCCTCCAACTAATTTTTCTCCATCTTGGGTATCCGTTATGCTTCTTCATGTGTCTAGTAGTTTTTTATTGAATTATAGACATTGTGTTTTTTATTGTGTTTTGGACTTTTTTCTCATTAGCATATTTAATTACTTACAGATACAGTTGACTCTTTTAAGGCTATTTTTAAACTTTTTTTGGAGAGATGATCCAGAGTAGCCATTATACCAGGGCTAATTTTAGCTCTACTTCTAAGACATAGTTTTTCTGGAATCTCTACTGAATGCCCTGTGTGTTTAGCATGGTCTCTGCCTTCTGACTAGTGGCAACGTGAAAAATTCACAGCCCTGTGTGAATTCTGGGAATTGACATATAGCTCTCCAATGATTGTTTTTTCCCTAAAAATTGTTCTTGCATGGCTTTATAGGGTTTTACCCTATGCATACACAGATTGGTATTAAGCTAAGACTTGAGGGGAACCCCTGTACAGATTTCTGGAGCTCTTTTTTGGCACAGCTTCCTCGCCTGAGATACGCTGCCCTGCAAATTATAGCTATCTCAGCTCTCTCGGCTCTGGTCTCTGTCTCCTCAACGCGTTAGGATAAATGAGCTCCTTTTGGAAGTCTCCTTGCACCACAGTCTTAAAATTAGCTCTTGTTAGAAAGCTTGGCTGGTGGTAGGACTCACCTTATTTGTTTACCTTTTCTAAGGTATTACGGTCTGTTACTGCCATTTGTTTGATATTTGAAAAGAGTTGTTTTCTATAGTGTGTCCAGTTTTTAATTTATTATTAGAGGAGGGTATTTCTGGATGCTCCTACTCCCTCACAACTGGAAGCAGAAGTTTCTCTGCAACTTAGGAGTGGCTTTTCTTTGCACATTAGCCTATACTTGGATAGTGAAATTTTAAGACCCAAGGAGACCAACCAGTGGGTTTCTCCTACCCTTTATTTACTACCCAATGATATGCTGTTTTCAGCTTTCTGATATAGATGGGATTTTTTTTTTTTCCATGAATTTGAATAGTCCTAGACTGTTAGAGCTGGCATGACTTGCTTATTACAGAGTTATACTCTGAGAGTTTTGTCTGCAGTCTATGAACAAGTTGCTAGGTTACTTTTACAGCAACACAGTGAGGATTCCGATTCTTATAAGACTTTCATCAGGGCTGAAATGGGCCAGTGATAACGTCTAATCAACTTTCTTATGGGATACAGAGGGCTACGTATAAGGAATACCCAGATAGAGATGTTCAGGGGGTACTTAGAAGTGCAATCTGAGCTGGAGACTCAACTGTTTTCCAAATTTTCTTACCCATTCATTTATAGAAGTTTTTTCTTGTGTTTTTTGTTGTTGTTGTTGTTGTTGTTGTTGTTTTTCCCCGCTTGTTCATCTCTGTGATCATTTATCTCTTCCCTCCATCTCTCTTTTCTTACATCCATCCAGTTATTTGGTAGGTTTTATAGGTAGATATCTTTGTTTCTAAGTTTTTTGGTACCTTTTAGAAATTTTCAGTATATTAGCTATTTCCCCATGCCTAGTTAAAAAAACTTAGTGACATTATATTTAAAGTTTGCTGTTAGAATGTAAAAGTACATAGACTCCAAAGGGAAGTTTTGGCTTTTATTTTTATTTTTTTAGCAGTTTTGAAATAAAAAAGCAAATTCAGTAACAGTGTCTCATCTAGTATCCATTCAGGATAATATTCTAAGTATAAAACTAGGCTTTGAAGTTTTTTTTGTCAACTTCTGTGTTTAAATATTCCTTAATAGAGCTATTTCTAAACTTCTGTTTATAAATTTTCAGATCGTTTATATATATTTTTTGATCTTGTACCTGTGTCTAATTGATTCGCAGGCGCAAAAGTGATTAAAATCAATGGTAAATGGCCTTACTAAAAATACTAACTTACTGGGAACCTTAAACAAAAGGAAATTGACATGATTAGAATATCCTGGAAGAGTTTTTACCTGTAATTTTTGCAAAAAACTTGAGCCTTCTGAACTAGGTTTAAAGTTCTAGTCATACGCAAAGAGCTCTTAACTAAGAAGTCTAAGGAGACCATTGCACCAACAAGTCAGAGGATCTTACGATAAGGAATGAATGTCTAATTGATTCCTGTATTATGACTGGGAAATTTTGAATAATATATGGTTGTTTCTCTTTAAATTTTACTGTGTTTCTATAATATGATTATTTCCAGCAGGGTTAAGTATAAGGTTAGGACTCTTAACGTGATATTTTATAAAGAGCCTGAGATATAACAGAAGTAGAGTAAAGATATCAAAGTTGTAGGGAGAAAACATGTTTTATAAAAGGGGGAATAACAAAGTAAGGACTAGGATCAGGTGATGATTATTGTAAAAAAATTATTTTCATTTTACAAAACATGAGCATTTTCTAGTTTGTTGGCAGTTTATGTACTTATACCCTTTTTTTCCCTAGTTGATTTACTTAATAGGAAGAAAAACTAGAATCTACAGTATTTTTTCCCTTGTTACTGATTTTGCCAGTCATAAGGTTCTTGAGATTTTCTTTAGCTGTTGTTGTTTTCTATTTGTCTTAATATTTAATAATTTTTTTTACAGTCAGTTTCAAAATTTCAATTACATTTTCAGAATTATTTTTACTCAAAACACTTCTGACACCAAATGTGTGGGGTATTTTTGTTCACCCAACAACAAATTCTTCAGTTCTCTAGATATCAAGTGGGTGTCCTAAAATTCAATTCACTTCTGACACTAACTACTAGAAGTTAGTGCAGACCTCACAAGTTAAGGACTTAGTCCTACAAGAATATTAGCACTTCAGACACCAGTCTAAGTCCCAGGTTTCTACCTGTACTCCTGAAAACTGGTTATAAATTGGGGTTTCACATGACCCCCTCCTCAGGTTTGATAATTTGCTAGAATGGCTCACCAAACTCAAGAAAACAACTTTACTTATTCCGTTTATTGTAAAGGATACAAATGAACAGCCAGATGAACAGGTACACAGGATAAGGACCAGTGGGGTCCCAAGCCTAGGAGCTTGTGTCCCTGTGGGGCTGGGGTGTGCTACCCTCTCAGCATGCGGATATATTTACTATCCTGGAAACTCTCAGAACCTCATCATTTAGGATTTTTTATGGAGGTGCCATTATATAGTCATGATTTGATTAAATCATTGGTCATTGGTCGTGGATTCGATCTTTAGCCCTTCTCCTTTTCCCAAGGACAGGAGGTGGGGCCTTGATATGGTTTGGCTTTGTGTCCCCACCCAGATCTCATCTTGAATTATAATCCCATAATCCCCACATGTCATGGAGGGACCTGGTGGAAGGTAATTGAATCATGGGGGCGGTTCCTCCATGCTGTTCTCAAGACGCTGAGTTCTCACGAGCGCTGTTGGTTGTATAAGTGTCTGGCATTTCCCCTGCTGGCACTCATTCTCTCCCCTACTGCACTGTTAAGAGTGCCTTCCACCATGATTATAAGTTTCCTGAGGCCTCCCTAGCCATGCAGAACTGTGAGTCAATTAAACCTCTTTTCTTTATAAATTACCCAGTCATGGGTATTTCTTCACAGCAGTGTATGTGAGAATACAGGCCTCTAATTACTTGGTTGGTTCCTCTGACAACCAGTCCCCATCCTGAAGCTATCTAGGGGCCCACTGTATTAGTCCATTCTCACACTGCTATAAACATACCTGAGACTGGGTAATTTATAAATTTATAAAGAAAAGAGCTTTAATACACTCACAGTCTGTGCACTGTACAGGCTTCTGCTTCTGGGGAGGCCTCAGGAAACTTGCAGTCATGTTGGAAGGTGAAAGGGAAGCAAACACATCTTCACAGAGTCAGCAGGAGAGAGAGCCTGAAGGGGAGAATTGCTGCACACTTTGAAACAACCAGATCTCATGAGAACTCTATCTCAAGAACAGCGAGGGGGAAGTCTGCTCCATGAGTCAGTCACCTCCTACCAGGCCCCTCCTCCAACACTGAAAATTTCAAATGAGATATGGGTGGGGACACAGAGCCAAACCATATCACCCATCAAGAAACACCTCATTAGTATAAATCGAGGTATGTTTTAAAAGGGCTTCTTATGAGTAACAAAAGATACTCCTCTTATCCTTCTCATTCAGGAAATTATGAGGGCTTTTAGAAGCTCTGTGCCAGGAACCGGGGTGAAGATCAAATACATATTTTTTATTATATCACAAATCACACTTTTCTATTCTAATCTTGTAATAGTTTTATTATTCCTTGATTATTGCTGGGTTTGGGTTTTTTTTAAATACCTTTGTTATAAAATGCTTGAAGATATGATTAGGGTACTGTGTTAATTATTACAAGTTATTTTGTGTCCTGTGAACAGGCAACCTTCAAAAGATCCTGTCCCATGATCATCCTCCAGAGTATTCAGCTGATTTCTATGCTGCCTACATTAACATTCTTCTTGGAGTTTTCTACACTGTTTGTCGAGATTTGAAAGAGCTCAGACATCTGGTAAATGAATATTTTGCTTGTATATATATATGTGTGTGTGTGTGTATAAATATATGTGTATATATATCTTTCAATATTTTCCATGTAGAAATGGTGTGAGATAGGTTAGAAACTGAAATTTTATTCTGGAAATTTGCATATGGCCTCTTGAGGCTAACATACCGTAAGAAGGTAGATGTTTGTGGGTTAGTACAAACTTTGCTTGTTCTGATCAGAAAAATGTCATTCTCAGATCTTCTCACTCTTCCTTGTTTTTTCTCTAATTACAGAAAATGCAGAACTCCATTAAAATCAAAATGAGGAATAACAGAAAAGAGATATAAAAATTTGAGCAGTTTTACAACTCTGTTAATATTTTGTAACAGATTTTGTTCAAGTTTTATGTATGCAGTGATTGAGGTCTAGAATCTAGATGGATTTGAGTATGGTCGGAAGCTTTCATTGCAGGTCTTTCATTAACCACCGACCCTGAGCTGGTAATCTTTGTATAGATGGTTCTTTTTAATTTTTTTTTTTAACAATTAGAATAGCTGTTTATATATCATAGTTTGGAAAATGTTGATGTTGAATTTTTCTTTGACCTTTTTTGTTTAATTGTGGGGATGGGAAAGGAAGGAGACAAGAATTTCTAGTTTCCCTTTTAGAAATCCTTAATTAATAATTAAGATCTTAGCTCCATTTAACAGAAAATAGTAATATATCTGAGGCTGAAAAACAGTCACTTTCAAAGTAACAGATTCTGTGTCTCTTAGCACATTTTCTTCACTTTGTTCTTTTTCTCTTTCTGCCCTGAAAAGTGTTACTTAGTTTCAGTGTGTGTTTGAGACAGAACATAGAAGGCAACTATTTAAAATTATGCTCACATTTAGTATGTTTTTGAAAGTTTCAGATTTCAGGGCTCCTCTGATTTGCATGTAGATTTCAGACATCTTCTCAGTTAGGAAAAAACAAAACTGTTTTTCCAGTTCCAGTTTATCACTGACATTCCTCTAGAGGTTGGATGTCTTGGGATCCCTGGCTTCTGAGGGAAATGGTAACACAAGAGATAGAGAGGAGAGGGTCAGGAAAACGCACCTGGGTGAGATGGACTTAGGAGCAAATAATCCTCCTCTGTCTTTACTGGAAAGTAACTTGCAGTTACCACTGTTTAGCACTCGAATCCTGTGGGAATCTGTGCTGGCAGCCATTTCAAAGTAGATTATAAAGTATAAGAAGAAAAAATTTAGGGAAAATATCTATGGGAAAATAAAATGTAAAGAGAGAAATATATATTTAAATATAGTATTTTAAAAAGTTCTTAGAGTTTCACTGAGGAATGATTTTATTTAGGGTAAGGTTACAGCTTTCTTAAAAATCATATTCATAAATGTGAAGTATGGTTTAAGTCTTATACTACTATTGGTAATAATAAATACAGAAAAGGATCCTTAAACATTAGAGAAAAATAGCACAGTGTTCTTAGTTTTCTCTATATATAGAACACAGAAAAATAAAGATACTCATTTTCCTTTTTTCTTCAGATATATAGTGTTGTTTGTGTTTGTCTCAAAGTTTGTAAGTGGCATATTTCTTGAAAGTTTATTAAATCACCTGAAAAATATTCTTTTCAGGGATCTTTTCTAGAAAGATGCTTTATGAACTGATATTTCTGTATTTCTTAGAGGCTAGTTCTGTAGGTAGCTTAAGATAGGAGAAAATAAAGTACTACTTTGATACTCATTTAGGTTTGTTTTCTCTGACAAACCTTATGATACTGCCTTTTTAACTGTTATTCATAAATTCTTAAACATATTTTAGTGTTTTAGTGTTTCAACCAAAAAGAAAATCAATACAGTTGCCCGTTAGTATACTTGGGGGCTTGGTTCCAGGACCAGTCCCATGTATATCAAAATCTGAGCACACTCAAACCCTGCAATCAACTCTGCAGAACCTGAGTATACAAAAGTTAGCCCTCCATACCCATGGGTTTTGCATTCCCTGAATACTATGTTTTTGATCTGTGTTTGTGATCTGCACTTGGTTGAAAAAAAAAAATCTGTGGACAAGTGGACCTTCACAGTTCAAACCTATGTTGTTCAAGGGTCAATTGTTTATTTTGATAAGCCAAATTGTGTACCAGTAGCTGTTAACATTATGACACTTTAGTGTTATTAAACTATGCTTAGATCTGAAAATCTAAAATGACGGTAAGGAAGTTTGGCTGAAGCGAATAATGTCTTCTTGATTCTTCTTCTCTACACTTAATATTAACCAAATTTGGAAGATTTTTCTACTTTAAATAATTGTTTTTTATGAAGTAGAATAGGAAGAAATTAATGATTTGGTTCGTAGTTTTCTGTTATCTACTTATATAGTTACACATTTATATATATCTTTTTTCTATGCCTCATTGAATTATTTTGATATGAAATACTTGGGAACAAACATATATATATATATATATATTTTTTTTAAATAAATGGAAGCAGTATGTTTTTAACCAGTTTGCTTAAACTACTGTTCAGTAGAATTCCAATGTTGATTCATAGAAAACTAATAAGTAGTTCTAATTAGTTAATTAGTACTCCTCAAACTTTAGAATACATAGAATTTCTAGAGAGATTGTTAAACATAGATTCCTGGGTCTCATCCTCAGAGATTCTGATTTGGTAGGCCTGAGATGATGCCAAGAAGTTAGATTTATAACAATCTCAGGTAGTGCCGCCAATCCAAATACTTTGAGTCATACGAAACTCGATGATGTTTAATTGATGAGAATGTCCAGACGTTAGAAAATAACAGTTAATTATTTGGGCTTGAGGTTTTTCATTATATGTTTTATGGTTCTGTATGACATAAATATAACCTAAAAGTACAAATTATGCTTTGTTACTGTAGGGAAGTTCATATTTTTACCCTGCAGTTTTGGTAATTTGAATCTATAAAACAAACTAATAATAGATTCATGGGAAAAAAGGCATACAAATTTATTTTTGAATTTTAATTTAATTTTATATTGAGTTCCAGGATACATGTGCAGGACGTGCAGGTTTGTTACATAGGTAAAATGTGTGCCATGGTGGTTTGCTGCACCTATCAACCCCTCACCTAGGTATGAAGTCCTGCATACATTAGCTGTTGCATACAAATTTATTAATATGCATATGGGCACAGGAGCCTTGCACAAAATATGAGACTCAAAAGGTGGGGTGCAGAAAGGGGGGCCAACTGATTCAAATTTTTATACCATCCTGAGGCTACAGAAAATGGGCTTGGAGCATGGCATAACAGGTTATTGGAGGGAGAGGAGGAAAGACATGGTTAGGGAAGGCACTCTTGTTGTGCAAATGAAACCTCATAGGTAGCAACTTCCAGAAAGAATAGATGGTAGCCTGTGCTAAGTTTCTCTGTCAGACCTTCAAAGGTGTCAGACCCTCAAATCTCTTTCTTGAGAGTTAGTCTTTCCTAGATCCAAGGTGGGAGATGATCAGAGAAAGCCTGCTTGCATCTGCTGTTTTCTTATTTCCTCTACAGATGCAAATCTCCCTCACAAAAAGCAGCTTTTCAGGGCTATTCTTGTGCTTGCAACCCTTCTGATTAGCCATATCAAAATATAGCAAAGAAGTGTATTTTTGGTGAGACACTCCATTCTCCTAATTTTGTATGCAGAGGCAGAATTTAGCCAATTAAAGAATATTTTGTGTTGTGCTATCATTATTGGTATTTTTGCTGTTTTGTTATAGTAATAAGCTACAATTACATTTTTTTTTAAGAAAGAATCAGGGTCTTGCCATGTTGTCCAGGCTGGAGTGTAATGGCTGTTTACAGGTGCAGTCACAGCACACTACAGTCTTGATCTCCTGGGCTCAAGTGATCCCCCTGCCTCAGCCTGAGTAACTGGGATTACAGGTGCATGCCACTACATATAATTACATTTGACTTGAGCAAATGTGTTTAAGTAAAATTTCTTGAATATTAATACAGATTTTACTTGAAAAATCAATGTCTAATTGTGATCGATCAGTGCTTTTCTCTTCCCTTTTTTTTTTCTTTACTTACAGGCAGTACTTAATTTTCCTAAATATTGTGAACCTGTGGTTAAAGGAGAAGGTAACTGTGTAATTTTACTCATTAATATTTATTTTGAGAAAGGTTTTTACAAGATATAAATTACTGAAATTTTCTTCCCTTTGGGATAGCAAGTGAACGTGATACTCGCAAACTGTGGAGAAATATTGAACCTCATTTGAAGAAAGCCATGCAGACTGTTTATCTCAGGGAAGTATCAAGGTAATTTTCTATTTGGTATGCATACTATTTTTTATATCTTATTCAGGATATATACTCTCAACTGAAATAACAGAGAGAGGGACTCTAAAAGAAAACGATACCTGTTTGAGAATTGGCATTGCAATGGGAAAGCACATGCTGTAGTAAACTCTGCATCTTCAGGGAGGTAAAGGAAGACAAGGTTTTTAAAGGAAGGATGAAGTGAATTACATAATTGTTTTGAGATAATTATTCTTCACTACAAGGATCTGTTTCGGTTCAGAGCTGGACAGGCAGTTGCTGGGCAGATGTCCTCATGGAGGTATTTTTTTGTGTAAGATTGCATTAGCCTTTACACAAGGTTATGTTTTTTTTCTGTCTTTTGTAATAGTTCGTTTTATCAGGCATTACGCGTGAGGAGCCTTCGTGGCCTTTCTTGGCTCTGTTTGTCAGGATTTTTAACACGTGACTCCATTTTGATTCTGACAACTTTTACTTTTTCCCCTTTTAATCAAGATTTTTCTCCAAAAGCATTGCTCATCAGTCATCCTATATTTAGGTTTTTATTGTCCCTTGGTGCCATAACGGACCTGTCCTGGGTTGTTGTCTGGTCACTTGTTGAAGGGAGTGAATGGTGGCTAGGAGTCAGTGTCAGAACCCTTTTAGCCACAAGGGAGGTTTGAAGGGAGTGGCTAAGTCTACCTAGAGTCCGTTGTTAAGTTTAATTTTGTCTGTTCCATAGGTGTTGGCTATCATTGCAAAGTGCTTGGGCCAGCGTTGTTCTGTTAGGAGTTGTACTTCTGTAGAAATTGTTTTTTGAGACAGAGTTTCACTCTGTCGCCTAGGCTGGAGTGGAATGGCGCAATCTTGGCTTACTGCAACCCCTGCCTCCTGGGTTCAAGCAAGTCTCCTGTCTCAGCCTCTTGAGTAGCTGGGATTACAGGCTTGCACCACCATGCCTTACTAATTTTTGTATTTTTAGTAGAGATGGGGTTTCACCATGTTGGCCAGGCTGATCTCAAACTCCTGACCTCAGGTGATCCACCTGCCTCGGCCTCCCAAAGTGCTGGCGTTACAGACGTGAGCCACCGCACTTGGCCACTGCAGAAATTTGATGGGCAACAAGTACAAAGTTTACAAAAGAAGATACAAAGTAAAATGTATAGTAATATGAGAATCCTAGTTTGTATAGTGCTTTTGAGCTGTGAACCTCGGCTTAAAGGGAACCTACTGAGTAAATCAGATGACCACAGGGAGTTACATGAGACTTCTAACTATGTGGCCTCTTTTCTTATTTGGTTTATGTAGGTCTCAGCTTTCCCAGAGGAATTTATTCAGGTACAGCTTGTGGTATTAGCAGTAACACAGACATTTCCTTATGTAACCAATAGATACAGATCAGTTTTATCATCTAGTATCATATGACTGAGTTGAAATAAAGCAGAGTGAGCTACAATTATATGAGGGATATTGCCCAAGTTGCCCACTAGATGGACTAAAGAATCTTTTAGGTCAGGTTCCGTCAACTTACCAGCAGTAGCTACTGATTGTGAAATTTCAATTATACCATTATCAAGTGAAAATGGTAGGCATTAAGAGGAGTAAGAGTCTCATTATGATGTGGAGTCTTGTTCTAATATCTTCGAAAAAACTGTTTCCACCATGAAACTGTTGACTTCTTATTCTGCTTTGTAGTTTGACTGTCTCTGATTATGGCATTTAGTGGTTTGTTGACCCTTCTGTGTGGTCCACACATCAGGTACAAGGTTTGTTCCTTAAAATTCATCCAGCTTCAATGTATAAGGCTTCAGGAACAGAGTAGTTCCCCTTTTTAGTAATTTTATAGAAGAAAGTTGGATTGGGGTATCCTAGAAGAATTTAGAATCTAGTCTAGGCTACAAGTTGATTATAAAAACTCAAATACGATGCGTAAAGCTACAAACTAATAACAGGTGCATTATAGGATTTTTTTTTTTTTTAAGAAACATAACCTTTTCTCTCTATGTTGATCACATAGGTATCTCAGATTTTAAAACCTCTTGAGTCTAGGAAGTCAAACCAAGGTCGACTTAAGATTTTATTTAATATCTACAATCTTTAGGTTCTTGGGCTTGCCAGGAAGTGGCATTTTTTACTCACTCACTGTAAGACTGGGAATCCTTGAAGCCAGGCAATTCTGTGCACATTTTCTAATGTGATATGACAGTCAAAGTCTTGGTAATATAACCAGTGTTTCCAATTACATCCTGTTACAAAGAGAGAGCAAATTCTTATTGAACTTAGTAAATAAACATATTTTCAAGGAGAAAAAAAGTCCCCATGAATAGTTTTTGAATTTTAGAGGGATGAAATAGGGAGAAAAAGCAGATGCTTCACCTTGGTTCACAAAATATACTTTACTAAATTGCTAATTAGCAGTTTCCTAAAACTATACAGGTAGCTTAAGAGAGAAAATTTTCTCGGCCGGGCGCGGTGGCTCAAGCCTGTAATCCCAGCACTTTGGGAGGCCGAGACGGGTGGATCACGAGGTCAGGAGATCGAGACCATCCTGGCTAACACGGTGAAACCCCGTCTCTACTAAAAAATACAAAAAACTAGCCCGGCGAGGTGGCGGGCGCCTGTAGTCCCAGCTACTCGGGAGGCTGAGGCAGGAGAATGGCGTGAACCTGGGAGGAGGAGCTTGCAGTGAGCTGAGATCCAGCCACTGCACTCCAGCCTGGGCGACAGAGCGAGACTCCGTCTCAAAAAAAAAAAAAAAAAGAGAAAATTTTCTCAAATCTGGAAAACGAAAACCAACAAAAAACTGATAAAGTTTCAAATAAAAATCATAAAAACATCCTCATCAGTTATTCAGTCTCATGTAATTAATTTTTGTTCTGTTTGATCTTGATTAGCAGTTTCATGAACCCATCATTTCTTCATTAGAGTTCCCATAGATTTTTATTTAGTCCATTGATCTTTAAGTTACTAGAAACTTGTATTTAAGAGTACTTGTTAGAATCTTTTTTTATGAATCTGATTGCAAATGATTTTAGATAAAAATCAGAACAATAACTGTAGGCTGACAGAAACTTAAAATAGCCATGGTTAAAAATTTGATGAAAGTTTACCATAATCAGAAATTGACAGGGAAATTTGATTATTTTTTGCAGCATACATATAATCACCACAATTATGACTTGATGATACATTAGATCTCTAAGTTTTATATAATTTTAGAACACTGAATTAATCACATACCTATAAATATAACTAAAAGAAGATCCAGTATTACTTACCATTTGGCAATGCTTCTTACACAATTTACAAAATAAATTTAATCATTTAATATCTTTACAATGTGGCTTTCCAGGGGCCTAGCTAGAAAATCCAAAAGTTAGTTCTAGGTCAAAAATGTTTAATTTAGAATTTTGATACTGGGGAGGTCTATCAAAGATGCGAAAAGGTTTAAAACACCTGGTCAAAACAGGATCGCAGGTCACTGTAAAATAGTAGTCATTCATTTAACTAGAATGATAATCAAAGGACTTCAAAAGCAATATAGAAAGTTACCTGGATTTAAAAAACGTTAACCCTTTCAAAGCTATTTTCCTAAGTAATAAAAAATAAAAAGCTAGTAAGAACACAGAAAGTTATCTTGATAAAATGCAAAATATTTGTTTCTTGGGCCAGTTACCAAAAAAGTAGAGAAAAACCTCTTGCAGTGTGATTGCTTCTCCTTATGGGAAGCCCATTTAGATAACCTGGAAGTTGAATCCAGCAAAAACAGTATTTGAATGTAATCAGACACAGGAAGAATGTGTGGTCAAGGTTATGAGAACACACCATGAGTGTAAACAAGAAAACTAGTACCTTGAGCAGGGAAATACATGGCTTTTAGTAACAGCATGGGAACTTTCCTGGTTACATGGAATAATTCAGACACATTCAGAAAAGCCAATTGTACAGAATCAAGTTATACTGGAGGAAAACATTGCTTTTGTAGGCCATGAAGACAAATATTTTAGAATTAAGACTGTAACAGCAGAGTTATAATCAGAGGAAAAAAGTTACAGGAGCTGATGAAAAAGTTAAAGGAGAGCGTTATCACCTCAGTCAAGATTAAAGGTATACTTTTTCAAGGGGAGAAAGAGTTGAAAGCAGTGATGTATGCAGTAAGATGCAGCAAACGTTAAACTTCTGAGATATAAATCTGAGGAGCTTTAAGAGGAAAACTCTACCTCAAGAAATGAAATTACCATCCTAAGTGAAGAAGACAGCTTTACAAATGTGAAACTAGAAAATTAAATGAAGACTGTGAAACAGGAAAAAAAAATTTTTTTTTTCTAATGTAGTGGACCAAATTTTTAGTTTTGTATTGAGGATTGAGGGATATATTTATCTCAAATTTTAATCTTTGGAAAGACTTACAAATAATTCCCTTCTAATTACAGCCAACTTGATCATACGCAAATTTGTTTAATAAATCTACCCGTCACAAACCTTATAATGATTTACATAAACTGTCCATGACATGCTTAGATCTTTAGTTATTTTCTTATACTTTTAAATAACTACATTTAGGACAAAATATTTACCACACAAAATTATTTCTCAAATTTATCCTTTTTTTTGACTGGGTGTGATGCTTCACACGTGTAATTCCAGCACTTTGGGAGGCCAAGGCAGGAGAATTGCTTGAGCATGGGAGTTCAAGACCAGCCTGGGCAATATGGTGAGACCCTGTCTCTTAAAAAAAAAAAAAATTCACTTTTCTTTTTAACCTTCTTTTACCTAAAATACATATTTATACCCTTAACTTTACACATCTGTGTCTCCTACTTACTAGTTCCTTTCTATCATGTTTCTGTTTTCTTAAATTTACATTTTAAAATAACCTTAAATAACCTTCAGAATTTAGACAAAATTGTTCTTTTTTCTCAATAAAGAACACTTTTTTTTGGCTTTTTAAGAATTCTCATTACAAACACATCTTACGTTTTGGGATACACTTTGTGTGCAGAATTATATATGTTAGTTAG